CACTGAGCGTAAAAGGAGAAATGAGAGATATCTCAAATAAAAAGCACGAGCATTTAATTTCGTAAGCCGCTCTAAATAAAAATCTTGATGCTTCGTTCAATTTTAATTCAGCCATCTCTCTCTCTCTCTCTTTCTCGCCCGAGCTTTTATTTGCATTCAGGCATTCGCCTCCGACTAAATATTTGATGCGTATCTAATTAAAAAATGTATCTTGCGGTTAATCTAAAGAGAAGAGACAAACAACACAATTGAGAGATAGCGATCAACGAAAAGCTTAATTTTATGAATTCCGTATCACGGTAGAAAGATGCCAAAGACTGACAATTAAGAGCAGAAAAACATATATATATAAATGTTTCTGCTGCATATGTAAATAAAATGATCGAAATAAAAACTTTATCATATAAATTAATAAAATCTAAATAACTCAACGTTTTATTAGTTGGAACGATTATATATATTTGTGCATATTTTTTTATGTTTATTTAAAAGTAATATAATCTTCAACCACAACAACTTTGAAGGCCCCTTTAAAGCTGAAAGAGTCTTGCTTGACTTTTAAATCTACACGTCAGACGAACGCAAGTCTTTATTATGCAGATGTAATTACGATCAGAATTTAGCTTTGCCGCGCTAATGCAAGGGCAAATATTTACGAGCAGGTCGTCCGGAGAAATCCTCAGCCGCAAAAGGAGATGCTTTCTCTTTTCTCCGCCAGCACATTGACACATTTTTGCCAAAAGTTTACTTATAAAAAGTTAGTTTTTTACTTGCCTTATTATCTGAGTGCTTTAATAAAAGAAAATACTCCATTACATTCTCTCGATCCTTTTACTACCAAACGTTTTACAGCCTTTCTTCATTTGACGCCGTCTCTCATCCTTTCTTCCCCGTCAATCTTCTTTGTGTTATACTATTTCCTCGTCATAAAAGAATTGCAGAAATGAAGTGACTTTAAATGCGACGTCTTTCACTCTCTCCTCCGCGCTTTTCCCACTCTTTCTTCTCTATTTTCTTTCGTTACTTACAGATTGAAGACGCATAATACCTCGTGTACGCACACGGCTTGTGACAGGATGCCTTGTCTACTATCTGTAATTATACCAAACTTCGTGCTGCGACTGCAGAAATCTTCTATTCCAAGAACAAATTAAAATAAATCTCCAAGATAACGGCTGCTGGTCCGGTAGGCGAGAAAAATCTTGTTAGCCGTTATAATGAGAACTCTTTACAGAATATTTCGCGAATATTCTGTAAAGAGTAAAACGCAAGAAGAAATTTATTCACAAATTGTAAACATTCGCATATTACAATTGAATGCTGTGTATTTTGCTAAATTTAATATTCCATCTTTGATATCTAAACATTTTTTAATCTTTTCCATCTAATAGCTTGAATATTTTTAAGTATAATTTATACACGTAACAAAATCTTGTTGGTCGCTATAATGAGAACTCTTTCTAGAATATTTTGCAAATTATATAAAGAGTTAATGCAAGGAAAAAATGATACAAATTGTAAACATTCGAATACTACATTTATATCTAAAAATTTCTTTTAATTCTTCATATCACATCTAAAATATATAATAGTCTAAATATTCGTTTATAATTTATACACGTATATATACAATATAAAAATGCGACTGATTACATTTTCTCAATTATTATGACTGATTAATACCTCATTTGAAACTATTAGCACTTTAGCATTGAAAAAATTCAATGTATTTTCTAATTTAAACCTCAAAACTGAAGTCAAATCCGGCTTTTAGAATGAAGAGCGGCTATACCTCGTTTTAGTTTGACTTATTACTGTTTCGCGCCCGCCAAGTTTGTAACACGGAATGAGAAATAAAAATCCGGCTTAACGTTTCGAGCGGACTATTGGTTGCCCAGAGACAAATTTTTGCGCGATATTGGAATTCTTTTTTCTTCTTCCTCGTTTGGCTAATGCGATCTCGATAAAGAGAACAGAGGCAGTATTCGATCAAAGAGGGACGCGTCCCTCCGTTGGGTAGGAGGATGGGGTGCGCAATCAGGAATCCTTTCATTGCAACTTACAGAGATGTAGCCGACTCTCTCGCGTTGTATGCAAATCCATCTATACTTGATTATTTCGATTCATCGTCGATGGACTCATCGCTTGATCGAGTCGATCTAACGGAGGGAATGGGAAGAGAGAAATATTACCGCGAGTGTTGAAACGCTGCTTTATTGTTAATAACAATTCGCAAAGCGATTTCCACTTGGATTTGGATTTTTCGATTGACTATAACTGAAGAATTACTATTAGAGAACTCATGCGTGTTGTACATATAGGTATCCAACTTATGTCGTTATAATTACGTCCAATGTATCATATTTATTTTAACGTGTCTCTTATTTTTTTTCATACGATTTCATCGCAAACTTGTCAAAAAATGGTTTACGACTGAAATTAAAATCTCATTAAATTTACCGTTTTAATATAAATTCGCTACCGCATCGTTATTTCTTTTATAAGGCATATGATGAAAATTGCAACTGTGACAAGAAGCACGCCGATCAAACAAAAGATTGATAATGATAATAAGAGTACTCATATCCAGAGATTGTTCGTAATTGGACAAGCGCTTTTATCCAATAGGATGATATCGTCAATGTGTCTTCTCGTTTGTGTCGTTTGCATGCGACATCCGATTTCGCCGGAAACAGCGTGCAACATTTCGCATCATTGTCCTTTATTGGCGGCTGTGAGCCGCGGCTGCGTCTACGAGAATATCGCGTGCATTCGTATCGATGCTCCATCTCGTTGTTTGTGTGGATGCGCACGTGTGTATGTGTGCGTGTTTGCCATAGGAAATTGAAAATACTCCAAATTCCGTTGATGCGGCGAAACGTGATAACGTGTCTCTTGAATGCGAGAGTGATCCGCTTTCGGTAGCGACGGGCTGCTAAAGTAACGGCGAAACGACGCAATTGCGCGCGCGAGACCCCATCACCCCCATACCTATTTGTATTTTTTTTTTAGTCGTGTTTCGTGATGCGCCACGTCCCCTTTATCGCTTCGCTCGGGCGTCGACCGTTTGAATTTGTTGTGTGTTTTAAATAAAAGTCGGCGTACCTGAATAATGCGATCCGATACAGTCAAAGAAAGAATGCACATCGATCAGTGCTGCAATGCCGAAAGATATAGTAAGAGTTTAGAAACACTAGTATACATGTCAGAGCACCAATCGCATTCCTCTTAATCTGACATAACGAGAAATCAAATGCTGATACGTGTGATGTATTTTTAGAAGAAAGATTATAGTATACGTTCCGTTTAGTTAGGATTTCTCAATGCTTTAGTCTTCTCTATTACTTTAATGACAGTCTATTTATTATGTGTTGACTATTTATGAATTAAGGATAAAGGAAAATAACATTATATGAGAATGCTTATTTAATACAGAAAGATGTACGTAATAAACTATACATGCTACTAGTGATAAATACTATACATATATATAAAATACACGAAGTTTTAAAGAAAGTGAAGTTGTTTTGTTAGCGGTTTTGGAATGTCTGCGTGTCATCTGGAATCTCATAGTTTCGGAAGAAGAGCTTTAAAACTTTAATGAGAAGCCTAAAATTTCTGCCATCCTTCTCGTACTTCAATTACAGACTGTGTGTGTCCACACATATCCTTAAACATTACTGTTGCAACTCCAATATTATGATAGCTATTTGTATTTTTTCAATACTTTGAAAATATACAAATAGAATATTTGTATTTTTTCAATACTTTGAAAAAATACAAATTCAAAAAAGAACACGTATTCGAAACAATTGTACAAGGATGCAGTTAGATGAATAGATGAGAAGTGCTTCTTACAATATGAAACTTCTAATCAGCAACCTGATTAGCCAATGTTTTGCTTCTCTGAAGCGGGAATAGTATAGCGACTACGTTACTACGGGGCAATGAATGCCATAGTCATCGGTACTGTGTGTACACTATACACCAGTATACGTGTTCGCGATTCGCATAGGTTTCACACAGGCACTTGAAATGGCCGTAGATATGTATTCCGCCCGATGGCAAAGGGGTCTCCTAATTGTTGCTGCAATGTTCATAGAATACGTGTGCCCGGTCGACGGCATTTGGCCCTGTGTACGTGCGCGATGTTAGTATCGTATACATTATCGCGCTATACATTCCTTGGAATATACGTGTTAATGGATCCTTGCACTCTGAATTAGGTCCATCTGCCAAATGGACGCGCGTACAGGCGGCAAAGGGAGGCCTCATTAACCGGATATTCGAAACACATCGGTCATGTTAACAATAACATGTGACACTTAACGTCATTTCCGAAACTAATTGAGTTTTGAATTTCTACGGAATCATCATGAATGTGTATTTTGGAAAATATGCTAAATATATACGCGATGACTATGTACACACACTCGATATATTCATGCATCATTAGGGAATATAATTATCTACATTTCTATTAACTAATAATATTCGTTGATTATAATACAAAATTATATCATATATACATTTCGTATTTCTCTCCTGTTATTTAATTGTATTAATTGTTGTAGTTGTGCATGATTATATTCGAAATATATTAGCATATGTAGATTTATATATAAATTTAACAGTAAGATTATGTATAGTATATTCGAAATATTCTCATTTCCTCGTTTTTTTTCCTCCTTCTTTTTTCGAGCCTCCTCTCTTTTTGCTTTCTGTCTCGTAATTCCATGAATACGCACAAATGAACATAATGGATCTCGGGATGCAATTTCGTACGTTCACAAAACCCATTTCGCTCAACTACCGGTTTTATACTGACAGTATTCGTCCCTATGCCGAAATTTGCCCTCTCTGTGCTTTCTTCGGTTTCCTCTTTTCCCCATTTTTCGTATAAAATGAACACTGAAAATCCACGCACACAAGTGTTTGAAAGATAAAAGACGTCTATTGTTGCTATTATTTTGTATATTTTAAACTCGGTATTTATTTTATGAAAGTATAATCTTATTTTTTATTTTTTTAAATCTAAATATACTTGTTGTATTTCATATTCGTTTAATATGCAAAACTTAATTGATTATGCTGATTTTATCTTATTCGTAGCGAGCATTTTAAGCACCTTGTATCGCTTAAATCGATCGCGTATTCTATTATTTATATCGTAATATTTATACAAAAGCTTCAATCCCCATCCTACAATAGCTAAGAGAGCGCATAAAACTGAGAATGATGTTATCGTCAGGAATACAATGATATCTAAATCGAATTGCTGATACCACGCGGCATCGACTCCATTGAAATGTAAATGAGGTGCACCATTGTGACGCATTACGAACTCGATCCACCATATAGCATTCTCTAAGCTATCGTAAGGCTTGTCTTTTGTGAGTGCGCGTAACGTCAACATTCTATCTTTGTATCTGCAAACAAAACATTAGATGAGCGAGAATTATTGGATATAAATATCGCAATTATTTTCCATTTCTGCGGACACGATTATTATTTACGTAAATAATAATTGACATCGTAATTACCGCTTATCACCGGCGATTTCCAATATAGTGTCGCGCAACTCCGGCATCGTAAGCTGGACTATATCCAGGTGTTTTGCTACTCCCAGAGAAACCATTTTCTTAACTTGATACACCTGATCGAAGACAAATGGTATTCCTATGAGTGGGACGGCGTAATGAACCGCCTCTTCGGTACTCTGCAATCCACCTTGATAAATGAAGAGCTTGATGTTCGGATGAGCTTTGAAGATAATAAGAAGAGAGAGAAAAAAGATTAATAATCTCAGTTTATTAATTATTATAAAACACTGGCTCGTCCGTTTTAATTTACCGAGTATACCCTGCTGCGGGATCCATTTCGAGATAAAGACATTAGGAGGAACCTGAAAGCCATCGTCTTCGAATTTCCACAGTACTTTGTACGGCAAGTCGGCGAAAGCATTGGTAAACACCTCCAACATTCCCTTCGGCAATAATTTACTTTTCACGTTTGTTCCGAGACTCATATAAACGAAGCCATTTGCCGCACTGTCCAAGAAGTCCTTTAAATTCTACGGAAGGGATATTTTGTAAAGAAATATTAGAAGAATTTTTATCATATTTTCTCTGATAAAAAATAATTTAATAAAGTTTGATACTAATTGATCATTGTTGAAGAAAGTTTGTACTTTTGATAACGATGGCGGTATCTTTTCGATGTGTAATCCGCTGAAGTGAACGATATTAGGTATCTCGGGTCTCGCATATGCTAATAATGGTTCTTGATTAATTAAAATAAGACTCATATTCTTTGCAACGTCGATGACATGCGGTATATCCTTGCCAAAATACTTTTCGGCGATTCGTTGTTGTTGGGCCGCAAAATTATTAAACCAATTGTATATGTTCCACCAAGTGTTTACAAAATTCGTCAATCGTTTCCAAAATGAAAGATTCAACCCTGTGTAATCCTCAAGCTCCCAATTGGAAGAATGCGATGGTAACACAGGACTACCGAAATTGAAACGATGACAATTTTGCAAATCCATGGACATAATACCTGCGATTATAAAACTCGTCAAGCGATTTATTATTTACATCCACATTATATACACTCGCGTGTGTTATTCGAGATAATTAATTTTATCTATCTTACCTATTAAAGGAGCATGAAATTTGTACGCCAACATGTAAATCGCAGGAGTCATAATCATCTCAGCTATCACCGCGTCAAAGTGCATATTCGTTTCATTTGCATAATATTTTAAGAGATCAGGATGACTGAGGACATCCTCCGCAATGTCGTGACCCAGTTTCAACAATCTTGTCTTTAATCCTCCAAGTTGCGTAAGATTCCAACGAGTCTGACTTAAATCAGTGTCATCGATTTTTTCATATTCAAATCCGAAGTCTATTTCCGTATAATTAATTAAACTAGAATCGTTTAAGATGTTTGGAGTCAACGTTACTATCTCATGACCCCGTTTATTCAAAGCAAGGCATAATGCCCGAAATACTATTTGATGACTGTAGGATGGAGCTGGGGTAATGATCAATAATCTCTTACTGCATGCTAAGTTGCTCGTAATTAGAATCCACAGGACCGTGATAATCGGAGAGATACCGGTAATTAATCGCATTCTATAAATATAAGGTAAAGAATGATGTAATTATATTCTATTATGTGAAATTATATATGTACATACATCAAAATAACATGATAAAATCTTATAATCGCAAAATTGCGAAATTTATGAGTCAATTAATACACTAGTAAAAAATAGGGAACACTTTTTAAACTCTAAAAATTAGACAATTTTCAAATTGTTGAAACTCTGCGAAAAAGCATCGTAGGACAAATATTAAAAAAGCATTTTAAAACTCGAAGTTTTAACTTTAACGCACAGTCGATGGATTTTTAAATTTTGTTAATCTTCCCTTGTATGCTTTAAAAACGAACATACTGTTTTGTTTCTTAAAATTATGTATCTTTGACAACTTGAAACTCGATAAAGAAAGTTTCTTTCCAAAAATTCAACTAACGTTTCAGAAAGTACATTTTTTTTACAAGACGCTTTTTTTTGAAAGTTTCCTATGATTTTTTTTTTGACCGATTTACACGATTTTGAAGCAAACTCTATATTTTTTAGAGATTATACATTTTTTTCGAAAAAAAATTTAATTCACGTTTCATAAACTACAACATTTTACCTACAAAATGTTTTTTTTTAATTTTCTTACATTTACAAAAAAATTTTTCATCAAACTGTGGTGTGTCAAATGCAATTTTAAGAAACAAATCATTGTTTTTAAATTTAGCACCAAATAGGGAAGATAGAAAAATAAAAAAAAAAAAATTCAATTCACGTTTCATAAACTACAATATTTTTCTACAAAATGTTTTTTTTACACTGTATTTTCTTACGTTTCGAAAAAAATTTTTCATCAAACTGCGGTGTGTCAAACATATGCAATTTTAAGGAACAAATCATTGTTTTTAGATTTAGCACCAAATAAGGAAAATAGAAAAATTTTTTATAATCACCGATAACGCGTTAAAGTTAACATTTTGAGCTTTAAAATGCTTTTTTAATCTTTTATCTACGATGATTTTTCACCGAGTTACGACATAATCTCTAAAAAATATAGAGTTTGCTTCAAAATCGTGTAAATCGGTCAAAAAAATCGTAGGAAACTTTAAAAAAAAAAAGCGTCTTGTAGGAAAAATGTTGTACTTTCTGAAACGTTAGTTGAATTTTTGGAAAGAAACTTTTTTTATCGAGTTTCAAGTTGTCAAAGATACATAATTTTAAGAAACAAAACAGTATGTTTGTTTTTAAAGCATACAAGGAAAGATTAACAAAATTTAAAAATCCATCGACTGTGCGTTAAAGTTGAAACATCGAGCTTTAAAATGCTTTTTTAATATTTGTCGTACGATGATTTTTCGCAGAGTTTCAACAGTTAGAAAATTGCCTAATTTTTAGGGTTTAAAAAGTGTTCCCTATTTTTTTTGTCTAATGTATAATAAATTATACCTATATCTATATTATATCTTTATTTTCTATATAATTTTTAAAAATAATTCAAAATTATATATAATAATATAATTATAACATATAATTATCAATATTATAATAATTAGTTTTTTTATTTGCATATAAAATTTTTTGACACCGTGTTAAAAATCTAAATTATATTGTTTAACATCCTACAAAATTCATACAACATTCAATCAAATCAGATTATATTAGTATTACTTACGTGTTGATGTTGAAGATATATTATTATAATAAATGACAATTCTCCGGAGTTCAATAAACTTGAAAAAAATTAAAAAAGGAAATAAAAGATAGAAAACTTATTAATCAATTTTCTCACATAACATCTTTACTAATATTATATAACAGTTATATCCTCCTGAAGAGACACGTTCATACTGAATCTCACGAAACGAAACAAACGTGTTATGTAGATTTCCTTCTTCGTATACAGCTTTTGGAATATTCCAAGTTAATTTATAATCTTTACAAACATCGATAACGTAATCGAGATATATTTATATATTAGATCCGGTAGAAAAAATATTAGATTATTATTTAATCATAAAATTTGCAATAGGAAAATTGCTACAAGAAAAACTATACTATTTATTGTTAGCTTTATACATGACTAAACTTTCAAAATATAGATAATATAACTTACTCATGAAAAATGTGTAATTTCGCGTACATATCTTTAACAATATTCATAATATAAAATATTACTATATAAAAATTGTCAATTTAGTAACAACTTTTATGATGCATAATATATTTGTAATTCAAATACAGAATGTGTTTTATATCCATCAGCTTACATCTTTTTATATTACATATAAAACTTTTGTAACATTTTTTAAAACAAAAATATCACGCTCTTTTACACTGCAATAAAATACGACGCATTAAACTTTTGCTCTTTTTAATTTTTAATATTAAAATATCTTAATACATTTTTGAATAATTTTATCAGAATATACGTGAACATATATTAAAATAATAAATATTTAATATGAAGAATTATGTAATGTTGTCAAGAACTTTAAAAATAACTAATATTCTATTACAGCTATATTTACTGCAAATTTATATATATATATATGATAGGAAAATTATATAAAGATAGTTCTTGACCTGCCTGTGATTCAATGAAGTTTCAATACATAAATCTCATCTTTTTTTCAATTATATAGATATCTGAAACGTAAATAGAGTTGAATCGATGTTTCAAATGGATGTGTAGATATTGGTATCTACAATTGCAATCTATAACACAAATACTAATAAAAATAAATAATTTTGTAATTGTAAAATATCATAAAAATGAAATTGCTTTAAATGCTTTTGTGTAATAGATATTCGTATTCAATTAGAGTATTTTGAGTTTTAATTTGTGAATTCATTGAATTATACTAATAAATTTCAGTTGTAATTATTTATAATTAATGTCACGTTTAAATCCAGTTGATCTTATATTTAGATTTCTATATTGTTATAGCAAAAAACAGCAATCAAAATAAAATGAATTATAAAACAGCGAAATTGTTTTACCGATTTATATATATATATATATATATATATATATATATAATATTATCTGTTATATGTATCTGCAAATATGGTAAATTAATATACATTCAAATAAATATATTTAAAACCAGTTTTCTACTTACCTAAATTAGTTTATAAGTTGCTCATTAAGCTATATCATTAATTAAAATTTGACCGTGAAAGTAACAGTTTGTCATTTCCATTCATCCAAATGAGGCATGTAGTTCTAAAAATACTTTGCTATCTCGCACTGTCTTGCATAATGCAATGTCATTTGTTAAAAGATCAAGACTAAGCGCTTAACAATTTTTGAATTGTATTTTAGATAGTATTTATTGTAGATAGAGAATAAAACAAAATCGCATATTTACATTTTTTAGAATTATTGCTAGAACTATATTATCAAAATAATTTATAATTTATTACAATAAAAAATAATACAAAAAATACCAATGCAAAATAAAACAATGTTCTTATTTTTAATTATTTCAAAAATATGTATTTTTTACCATTATTTACCTTGGTTATTAGCTTAATTATCAATATCGCACATAATAATAATAATGCTTGAAATAAAAAATATATTTTTTATCTCAAATTCCACAGTTATTTTATGAAAAGCAAAAAATTTCAAAAGAGCGTAATAAAGTAACATTTTCTCGAACAATATTTTGATATATAAATATGATGTAATATAAAAAAGTATTGTATAAAACTTAAACGAATTGATGAGCGCAGACATAGCTAATTAATACGACTGAATAAAGGTCATTGTTGTATTGCATTAAAAAGATAAAATGATTGTGATATGTGTGACTAACAATAACTGGTCGTGCTAACTTTATATAAAAATTTTTTATTATATTATATATTACCTTAAAAAATCAAAAAACATTTGAAATCACTGTCTATAAAATAAGAAATAATACGAGAAATTACGCAAGTAATAATACTGTATAATATACATACACACACTCGAAACAATTGTCGCGAATAGCGCACGTTTCCATGAATTTGATCAGAAATAAACACGGATTAACATGATTGAGTTTTCCGCTTGAGAGCTCAGTTAGTGTTACAGTGATATCGAGATATGTACAGATATTACAATAGCAGAATCTTCGATGTAGAAACAGCGATTAATGTCGTTACGGATTGCTTACAATGAGCGAAAAGACTTCCAATTTTAAATCAAACCATTTTAATTTGGCAAATAATTTTGGATATATTAGCAGAATCACTCGGACTCGTGTTTATGCGCAAACGCCTAACTCCGAATATACAGATGTGTGTTCTGCACTGGGGATTGAAATTATGTAGATTAAGCTCGTTCACACCGTGTCCGAGAGCCTAGATGAACATTAACTGCAACCGTACATATACATGAAGGAGACCGTTTATAGTTAGTTTATAGTATAAATTAAAAATTTATCTTTCGTACTTATTTGTAAAAAAGTTCCGTCATCTTAACGAGATAGTATACTTAAATAACTAATTTAGAATACAGAAACATATTTTAAGAATACTTTCAAAAGATGTATATTTTTAACTCTGAAAGAATGTTACATAAATGGTAGTAATTAAAGAAAATTATACAGGTAATTAAAATCTATTCGAATATGTTCACAGAGATATTGAATCTGGATCTATTTTGCTCGCGTATATAATAACAAGGCTGCGCGACAATAGGGATACGGTCTTATCGTCGTATCGGCCGACTGAAAACGTTCATCCTTAGTCGATGCACGCGCAGCCCGCGTACGCAAGCACGTGTATTAAATGCGTTTCTAGTGTACGTCGAATCAAAATCAAATCAAGCTTGGTACGTGATCGGATGGCTGCAGAGCCAAAGAGAGAGAGACGACAGGATTCTCCTTCGACCGAAACGACGACTCACCTTGCAGTTTCTCAACTGTAATTCCGACTCGATAGTTGTTACGGTATTACGAAACTACGCGCAGCTCTCTAACTCCATTAATCATTACAGCTCCGAAATCGGCCCAAGATCGTTTTTGAGAGAAGTTCGAATAGTTCTACTCGAGTTATAATTCGTCTTGGATACGCTCCATTCGTTAGTTTCTGATGAAGATGCGTGCGTTCATACGAAGACAAATGTGAATTGTTGCAAACATTACCAGTATAGAATATAATCGAAGTCATTTATTTACTCGTGTAATCAAATTTATTTGAATAAAGATTAATTTTTATATTAACAAGAACATTTTTAAATGAAAAGGATTTAAATTATACATGAGTGTCTCTATTAGACTTTCTGATCTTAAATTCTTATGTAAAGATCAAGAGGTTGCATTAAAAACCAGTCTAGAGAGGATAGCATAAAATCACAAGATCTAAGAATGGGATAAAAATAATCTCCAGCATTTTCTCTCTGCAAGAAGCTTACTTAATGTATTTTTGAGTGACTTAAAGGAGAATTATATTTACATCCACAATATAAATCTTAGAAGATGCAATTACATAATGATTAATATGCAACAAATGATAGTGAGATAGTACATAAATAATGTATGCACATGTATGCATGCACGTAATACTTTCATGAATTTCTATAAATACTAAAAATTTAGTAGTTTTGTAGGTATTTTATATTGTACAACAATATGTCATTTGCTTTTACGACAGATAATTTAATTTTATCACAAAGATACAATATCATAAATATATTTCAAAGTATGTGTTTCTATTATTAACTGGAAAATTATAATAATTTACGAGTAAATCACAAATATACTATGTTTTTGGAACAATTTTACTTAACATTGAAAAAACTATCGCTAATGTATATTGCATAATAAACAATGTAATTCACTTTTCCTTTAATTTCATTATTGAACTCGTCACGTGTTGATATTAATAATTAATTAGATTATATAAGTTGCAATAATGGAATCAGACATAATTGTAAATTATTAAAACCGATAATAGTATTAGATTCTATATACATTATTTTATAAATTCATAATTACGTACTTAACTTAATAATTGTTTTCCATTATAAATGACAAAAAAATACAGTTTATTATTCTAATTTATACGGAATTACGGTAGCTAATCTATTATATCCATGTTTTATTATTGTTCAAAATTGGTAATTTCTATAATTCACTTATCACGCACGCGTTCAGCAATAATAGATAGTAATGTGACAACCCATTGTCCGGCTCAAATTGTTTTACAAATACCCTAAGTTGCCTTAACTGCTGGTAATAGATCATCTCAGACCGACAATTCTCAAACACTTTGCATATAGACATTAGATTCTATGGATCCTTAATGTTTTATGAGGATAGTAGATGATCGGCGATTGTCTAGCCTTATTTGGCAGGCAGTTCCCGATTCTATATGGAAGTATCTCTTTTACGGAAGACACAGTGGACGTTCCAGAACGCAAAGGAGGATCTGTCTCTTTCCGCTTAAATTTGGAAACCGAATTCCGTACATTCGCAACTCCGAGCAATCGTAATTTCGCAGGCAGCAGAAGTTTAGCCGCCGGGCTTTCGTTCGAGAGGTAGAGCTTAGAAGTCAAATATCGGGAATTTCATTTGCGCGTCGCTATGTATTATTCAATCGTACTCAAAGGAGTTTCCTCGCGAGATAAGCTGCCGTTGAACTCATCAATCACTGTTCTCGGCTGTGATAGACTATTCCAATAAGCTCAACTGTCAGGATTAGTACTTGTGAAATCGATGTATGTCATCAAAGCGAACAAAAACTTTGTTTTAGACTACGGTAAAGCACAAGCACACTGGCTATATTGTGCTTTATTATTATTATTATCTATCATTTATCAATAGTTTGTGCTTAGCGTTATTTTTGATACATTAATAATAATAAAAGCATAAATAATATAGTATATTATTATGCATAATATATTATATGTATGTATTATATATTATTGATATATTAACATAATGTATTATTAACCAAATTAAGTATTAAATTACAAACATATGTGCATTAACAATGTGAAATTGTACAAATTGAGCACAGTACATTACATTTTAGACGACTTTCTGACAAATCATTTTTATACAAATACAAATATAAATAAACAAAATATTATTTGATTTATGATCTAAACAGAGACTACGAAGTATGATACTGTAATAAAGTATGAAGTTAAAGTTTTCTCGATAAGGCAACCTATAATAAAACCTACTAAGTTTTCTTTTCACGTATTTTGGCACTGAAGTCGTCTTACATTTATTATACGGTAGGCAATAATCTTTACAAAAAGTAACTTGATCAATGTAAATCTGCACTTCAGTATGTGGCTCCTTAATATACTCAAAAATGAGTTTGTCGTCCTTCACGTACTGACTGAATGGAATTGTACATACTTGCTTCCATCCAAAACCTTTCGCGATTCGTGCGATATAGCTGGAATCGATATATTAAGCAATATTAGATTTTTTATTAATCTCTACAATATATATCAATTTTATTTTATATCTTATATGATCCATCTATGCAATTCGCATAATATATGATCGCAGGAAAACGATATTCGATATCAGTGTCGAACAATGTGTTCATATGTTGAAAAACGCATCAAGTTATCGTATATTATACCAGTCTTAATAAACTCGATCGTTATTCTTTTAATATGACAGGAAGCCATATATCAGCTGCCGTGCTACCTTCACCGGGGCAAATTTAAATTACGAGGCAACACAGTTTCACTGAACGTGCGACGTGTGATGAATAGAGTCCGGGCGTTGATGCGAGCCCGGCGTAGCGTCGCGAAAATTATTCAAGATCCGTTCGAGGCGAGAGAACCGCGCCGAAACGACTGGCATTCCCTACGTGTCTATAACCTCAACCAGAATTCCACGGTCAAGCTAGTCGAACTCACCTATTGGTGCAGTCAACACGGAACAATCGATAGCCGCAATCGCGCGCGAGATACCAGCTATCTAGCATAAGCTTTCTGGCAATACCCCGGTTCCGGAAGTCCGGTTCGACCGCGAGATAGCTGCACTCGAAGATCTTGAGAACGCAGTAACGCTTCCAGAGATTTGGCTTGCGGGTCACGTAAGCCCCGAACTCGATCACGTCGCGAGTCGGCCCGCATTCACAACACCTAGCGAACTCGACGAACTTGTCGGGATCCCAAGGACAGGAGCCAGCGTTCACCGCGGCGCCCACGATACAATTGTCCTGTCCCTCGGCGATTATCGTCATACCCTCACGAAGCTCGTGGTACATAAGTTTTAGCAACGACGGCGCGGGCTCCTGCTGGTCCAAACCCATGTTCACCATGACTGGGTCGTGTTTGAAGAACGCGTCGCTCATGAAAGTCATTACTCTGTCGTAGTCCACCGGCAAAGCCAATCGTGTCTTGTATAATGGCTGATGATGTTACGAATACATGAATATATGTTACACGAATTTTTGCGTCAATAAAATAAATAGAAAATTCAATTATTAAGAATTTAAGTGTTTAGCGAGAGCAACTCATAGAAAATGTTAGATCTATCAAATTCATGTTTACATTTTTGACGAGTTCCATGTTAGACATTGCTATTTCTCTGTAATATTATGATAAAGGTTAGTCAAACTTACGGTATAGTTTGCTGTATAATTTCGCATCCCAATGCGCATATAATATTCTTGATTTCTAAGTATTCCAAAATATGATCCGTATTCCATGCACTTAGTGACACGACGTGTCCATTTCCATAAAATCGATGTCATGTCGATATGTCATCGATGATTTTAGGATATATATAAGGCTTAATCTTACTTTATTTTTTAAGTATAGTATAATACTAATTCTCTCCAATTTTTACGTCATTTATTTAAAAACAAATTAAAAATTATATATTTTCTATTTTCACATATTAAATATTTTTATAGTTCTGCCATCTTGCTATGATAACAGCATATTTCATATCATTGAAGAATTTCAAAACAAGCGCCACTAGAAATAACATAATCGCTAATAAATTTTTCTATTTTTATTGGTTGGATTTTTCTGAGGGAAGATAAATCGGTGACAATAAACTACCGCGGAAAGACGATCAGATCCCCGAAATCAGCCGTTCTTGGAAAATCACACGAGCGCATCGGACGTGTGACAGTCAAATAAAAAGGAAGGAAAGCAAGATACGAGGCGAACGTCCGCTTTCGCGAAGGATTGGAGATTATCAGAAGATAAATTGCATTTCTTTTCGTAGTAAAACGTCGCCATCGAGGCAAACCGTCAGATTTACTTCTTTGACATAAATTATCCGGGGAAGCTGTGACGTTCGTTACTTAGGCGTTGAGCTTTCGCGAGAGAGAATCTTGAACTACCAGCAAAATATCGAAATGAAAGACTAAGTAATTAATTAATGTTTACTTCTGTAAGTTTCATACTCTAGCTGACGGAAATTCGCACGAGATAGCTCGAAGAAAGAATACATTTTTCTACTTCCGTTAAGAATTCCGTGCGCGGGGTAAAACTTAACGTCGTCGTTCCGCAGTTTCTGGAAGACTAGGTCGGACGATAACTCAAACACGGCTCTATTCATTCATGGCCGTTGTACGAAGTGATATGGGTGGCAGCTTGCAGAGCGGCACCTGATTTATGTATTCGCGCCGCGTTCCACCGCTTCCGATATACATGCGCCTTCATATAGAGATTCGTATATACATAAACGGGCAGATACATATAATACAACCGCGAAGGATGTGCACGTACATGCATACGACGATGCGTATACGCGAGGGTGTAGTTTACACGCGGAATACTATATATACGTACGTACATACGCGGCGCTCGCGCAGATACGTATGCGAGGACGGTAGGTGCCGCGGCTTATTGTTGATGAATGCGGGGAACCCGAGCTCACTGAGCCACGAAGGGGATGCGGGCTTTATGTGTATATCGTAGTCAGACTACGGCGGGAATGGAAGGAGCGGAGAGAGAGCGATAGGTATACGTTACCGAAGTGGAATGGCCCCGCGTATGGTTCCTCCAGCGAAACCCGTAATGAGAACGCGCGGAGATACAACGATACCCGTATACATACAATATATACATATATATATATATATATATATGCATCAATTATGTGCCTTGATTCTCAGCCGGACCATACGCGAAAGATTGCAATTTATCGGCGCAACAATACGGGCATTATTAATATCCATTAACCAGCCCAGGGTGCCTCATCGCCCGGTTGCGTAAATAAAAGTAAGATCGTCGGTGTTGTGATGAATTGAGACGAACGAGAAAGGAAATTTATTCGAAGCAAAGATCAGTAAAAAATAAATTCAAAAGCTAGAATAATAGATATAATAAAATTATATCAAACTGTAAAAGGAGAAAACAGAATTATAAAGAATTTGAATAATTTTAAAATAGAAAACAATACATTTTTTGTCAATTGATTTAATATTAAAATAAAAAAATCAACATAACGTAATAATAAATGTACAAACAAGGTTCGCGCGCTTTTATTTAATTTTATTTTATAAATGCACAATGCGCACGTATATAAAAGATATGACGTGAAATACAATGAAAATATGCATATTTAAATACATGAATATAAATAAATGCACATTAAATATATTGTACATTTAAACACGTCCGCACGTTTGGACATTTTAAATTCTCTCCTTAAAATCAATAGTCCTCCTACAATCGTCACTCACACAAACGCTGCACACTTGCCGAGCTGTCATTGCTGAAAGCGAACTTTCAACCCTTCGCTAAGCCAGTCTGCTTTATGAATCCGTCAAAGTTCTCGAAGAATCCATCCTAGCGTGACCTTGGGCTTCTCGGTCGTCTTCTCTCGTCTTTTTCGAACTTACCCCACTCGTTGGCTTCCACATCGACTAATCTCGAACGGTTGCCCTTGCCTTTCGCGTACGTGTCTCCGGTGGCGGTGCGTTTCTCGTGCTTCTCAAAATGTTCGCTCTGACGATCATCGTCGTGAGAATCGGCGTCTTTCTCGAATTCATCCTCGCGATAAACGTGATATCCGACGGCGTTACGAGTCTTCTCGCGACCATTTCCTGCTTTGTAAATATCTTTCTTTCTTTTACAACTTTTTCTTCACGCTTCTTCGCACGATCCTCATTTTCGAAATGACTCATCTTTCTCGCACCGGAAGCCGCGACATCCCCGCTGCTCTTCTCGCTCTTCTGCCTCAAATCATCCTTAAATCTACCTCGCGAACGCGGAGGTAACTCTCGTTACCGCGATCATTCCTCGCAATCTGCTTCTCATGCTTCGACGCGCATAATGCGCATCGCGATTTCGACCAAATCCACCGAATTCACCGAAATCCTCGTCATCGTTTATCATCAAAGCTCGTAATGTCGCGCTCTCGCGAACCGAAGTGCCGGTTTGCGGTTTTGCGAATGCAAACTCCATGTGGGTGACTCCAGGCGGCTTCACGCCCTTATAACCGCGCGGCAGCATCTCTGCCTCCGGTTCTGTGATCAAAGGTAATAGGGCCGGATTGCTCTTCGCTCTTGTAGCGATCGCTCTTAACGGGCTATTCTCCTCGAACTTCTCCGCACTATCCTCGTGGAATTCGAACGATTTAGTCGCAGGTGTCTCTTTCTCGAAGCTATCGTCGGTCGATGCCGAATCGTACAATCTCGAGCTGTTAATGTGCATTTTGTTCGATCGATCTTTCGCCGGATACGCGCAAACACAGAGCACAACATAGGCAGCATAGCAACCTGCTCTGAACCATTTTTCACAGGCCTTCATTTGTTAAGTTTGCTGGTCTTAATTTTATATATGCAATTTAAATCGAAATTATATGTATTCTTGGGATAAATCGATTTGGTACGACTGTTTGGACAGAGAGGAATTTCTTATGTAATACGAATCATGCAAACGCGCTGGCACACACTGTAATGACAGCGCAATAATACCAGCTCTTTTATATCGCGTGGCAACCGCTCGACCGAACCAGAGATCACTGTCGATTTCACATGGCCTTATGGTGTATCTAGCGTAGCGTATAGCCAATTCAAGATCACAGCAGTGACGGTTTACGATGCTGGCTAATCAGCGATGCAAAACAAATTCGCGGGATTAGATTGGAATTTTAGAGAGCAGAAGCTTGAGAAATACGCGTTCGTCAGAATCTCAAAAATTAACTGCATTATCTGTCGAATAACTTGGCAATTTAAATTCTATTTTTTTTTTTCACTAAATCTTGATTTTTAAACCGTCACCCGTGATTTCGATTAATCAACGAAATATCCTTCGCCAAATTATTACGCAAAATCGAGGACTCTTGCCTAATATCGGCGAAAGAAATATATCGTAAATAGCATGCTGTGCTGTGTACTTGAAGCATCGGCACGACCTCCGCGACGGAAGGAAAACGTCCTTCCAACGTATGTATATAAGACAATAACGCGGACGAACGGATACGACAGTGTCCGAACAATTGAGGCAGGAGACGATAATAGCGATTATTATCCGGCGCGTTGTTTACGAGAACGCCATGATCGCGAGTTTAATGATGATGCTGCTCGCCAGCGCACGCGGCACTAGTGCATCACCGACGGCGCATACGATGATGATCTCCAAGATGAGAATAGCCGATCTCGAGACTTCAGCCGGCGAATATGCGTACAATCAGCAAACGGGCCTTCCGGCCTCGTACGTGCGATACACCAATCACGGAAGCGGACGTTACTACCATGCACCGACGCCGGTACATTACGTCGACGGTAGTTCTGCACCTGTTGCGCCCGCCATTTCTGAAACTGCGTTGTCGCACGAACCTGTTCTGCTCGCATATACGACTGCGAAGCGCGAAATTGTACCGTACACGTCGCGCCAGCCTTACCCACGCGACGGATTCATTAATTATACCACGGGCCAATTAGCGAAATACGCGCAGCCGCTTCAACCGCCTGAGCTGATTGCTCGCGCGCCGTATTATTATACGCCGAGCTTATTTAAATCAGACGGAACGAGCGCGGAAACTATTAATAGAAGGGATGATAAGGAGAACGTGGAGAATGAAAAAGATGATTATGACAAGGATGACGATGAGAGTGATGACGGTGATAAGGAGGACGGTAAAGGTCACGCGACGGTGAATCGTAAGAAAGCAGTTGATTTTATAGCGACTCATCTTTTTCACGACCTCGACAACCCTCGGCCAAATATCGACGTTTCCCTCGAACTCGGCGAAAAGTATTCTAACGGGCAGAATTCTGCTCATGGAGAAAAGGGTGACAAAGGGTACGACAAACGAATAGAATTTGACATAGGTGAACGCGAGCAGCATGATAAAAGCAGGCAACAAGGTAGATTTTTGTTTATTTTTTTAATAGACGTTTATTGAATTTTTCAATATATAAGTTTAGATATTTATATTTCTGCTTTATATGTATATATATATATATATATATATATATATATATATACATATGTATACATATATAACAGAACGAAATTACTTTTTGTTGAATCTTTCAGAACATTATGATATTGAAAGTGAGAACAAAAAAGGGTACAGCGACGTGGCCGGAAATTATGGACGCTACGATGAGATTGAGAATGGTGAGAAGGGTAGCAGCTATGGGCAAACGTCGTACCACAAAAAGGGCCAAAAAACCAGCGGCTTTCATAAAGTCTACCACAAGGATGAATATAAAAAACATACCGATTTCTATGACGAAAGCCACAAGAAAGGTTATTTCGACAAGCACGCTATTGCTGACGAACATCATAATGCCGCCAAGGGTAATTTCAAGAAAGGCGGACATCATGAATCTGAATTCGATTATCGAAATAGTGGAGAGAAAGCATTTCGCGATAAAGAGCGTACACAGAATCGCGATCAGGGTTATAATAAGACAAAAGGTGAAAATTCTTTTCATAATAATTATGAGAATTATGACTTCGATGCAGATAGACGCTTAATTAAAAAACATAGAAATGAGGAAAGCTAGTTAACAGTGTTGAATGATATAATAGAACCTTTAATGCTAATGCAATTTATCTATTATGATTTTATATGTATATTTGATTATAATTTGTAAAACGTGATAAAATAAAAAAAGAATTTATAATCGAATATTTTCATGAGACAGAGGTTTTCAGCCTATATCATGTTAAACATGTATTGACAGTGTCGATTGTGAATAATGTGCTTGTAACAGAATTATATTTTGTAATTAAGAATCAACATTGCAAATATAATTGAGATATAGATTTTTGGGATAAATGTAGTTAATAAATTTATAATATTAATTTATATTACATATTTCTGCATAATATAATCATAGATATATAATTGAGAGAGATCAATTTGATTTAAATTAGATTGTTCAGAAATGATCATTAAAGATACATCATTAAAGATACATAATTTTCAAAGAACGCGTAATAAAACAAAAACTGCGACAATTGCATCATCGAATGCGGTAACTGCCCGATATTACGGTTTTATGGAAATAGTATGTAACGAGAGACCATATTTTCTTTTGACAGCTGCTGCGCCGCAGAGAAGCGTGACTGATGTAGCACAAAACATAAAACTTCACTAAATTATTACGACAGTTACCGATTTCGCGACACGCGTTACGGTTGCACAGTGTGCAAATAATTCAAATTTCATTTTATGTCCCATATACAATACATGTTATAGTATTGTAAGAGTCTGATTAATGCAAGCTATTACGTGTTGGTGAGAACATGTGCCGGCATAAGAAAAATGATGATTTAATAAATGTGCGTGATATATTTTACAGTTAATTGACATAATATTACGATATAGCATGAAAGAATGTATAAATAATATGTAATAAATCTGTTGGAAAAATTTATTTTTCTCGTCGAAACGTACAACAATTAATGTAGCGTGACAAACGCCACTCAACAAGCAGTAGGAGCGAAATGATGAGTCTCGTATTTATATCAATGTCCCTTTTTGAATCCCCAATGCTTGTGATCTTCGTGACCGCCCTTTTTGCCATGATGGGAATGATGATGATGATGTTCCTCGTGATCGCCATGGCTCTTATGACCTTTATGATCATGATGATGATGTCCCTTTTCATGATGACCTTTCTTGCCATAATCATCCTCGTGATGATGATGATCATGGTGGCCTTTTTTAAAGTGACCGCCCTTCTTATGCCCGTGTTCATGATGATGGCCACCGTGTTCTTCATGATGACCATGATCATGATGTTCATCGAAGAATTTCTTATCTTTCTTAAACTCATCGAGTTTGTGAACCTCGTGGTGTCCCTTTGTACTGTGACCCTTGCCGAAATGTCCTTTCTCATGGAACTTGTGACCCTTCTCACCTTTCTCGCCCTTGTGATGTTCGCCGTAGTAACCGTCATCGTGATGATGATGCTTCTTATGGCCATCTTCTTCGTGAAAATGTCCGGAATGTCCCTCTTTGTCGTGATGTCCCTTTTCTCCTTTCTCGTGATGATGGTGCGACTTGTATCCTTTGTCGCCTTTTCCGCCATGTTTGTGATGATGATCGGAATGATGCTCTTCTCCATGCCCGCTCTCGTGATGATGACCAGAAGCGGCTACCTGCAGATCGTCGTAATAAGCCCTCGGGATCTCACGTGCGGTAGTCACGCAATAAGAGGCGATGCACGTTGCCAGCAGGCAAATCGCCGCCAATCTGCTCATCGTGGCGTATTTATCCTCGTTTAATCCAATATCAACGAGAGGTGTTTAACTTCGCCGCCGTGATCGGTAGGTATGATTAAATCGCTCGCCCCGCTCGGATTATATATCGATCGCAGGATAATCGATATGAGGGTAAGCTCTTTCGTGGCTTATTACGTCGTTGCGAAAGCAACGTTTCCTTAACCTGTTTAAACTGTAATGCGGATTTCAATAAACCCGCGACTATCGCTTAGATCGTTACGTAATTTAATTGAAATCGTTGTCCTGCTTACCAAACTATGTCTGTGCAGCCTAAATAACGCGTTTTTATTGTCCTACCAAACCGCAGCATATTGATTTTCAACAGCTTTAATTTATTCCTATAACTGATGGAAATTTATACGATTAATATATTTTTTACGAAGATAAACACAAAAATATAATATATAGCTAAATATCATTATTGAGAATAGCACGATAAAAATACTGCTTTCGATCAGATTTGACAGAACAGATAAATTCAGCAATAAAAGTCGTCCTGATTTATACTGTGCATCTCGTTTTGTCAATCGTTAACCGCTAAATTTATCTGCTGATAAATTCTAACTTAATCTAGATATTTTAAATGTGAGATTTACTTTTAATTAAGTTTAAACTAATTCAATTTTTGGGTTTTTGTAATTTATTTTTTAGCAGTACAAAATGAATTTGTACAAAATATTGTTTCTTTTATTATTCGGTAATATATTTTTCATTAGTTCGAAAATGTGTTTTTAAAACATTTGTTGTTTTATTAAAAATTATTTCATTAAAAATTTATATTTAAAACATTAATTTTATTTTATTAAAATGTGATTTAGTTATATATTGTAGAATTTTATCTTCTTTTTAAACATATGTGTATGTGTATATTACATATATTGCAATTTAATATTGTTTAATATTTTATTTTTCACAAAGTTTTAATATATACCTTATAAATACACGTAATTAAACATATTTTATATATTTTTTTTATATAATAATACGATCTGTTTTTTTCTCTTCTGCTTTATACTAACAGTAAAAGCATAAAAGTAATATTGTTTTGCTCTCTTAAGTAATCCCAGATTGACAACAATTCTCTACAACTAATAGTGCATTTAAGCAACAGTGTACAGTATAGGACAAATGTTTTGCGAAATACTAGCCCAGTATTGTGAGAGAGACTAAACAAGAGCTAAAGAACGAAAGCGATTACGTACAAAGCATTAGTGAAACCACAGGTATATAAGCTTTGCTTTAAAGATTGTTAGTCAGTCAATTGTACTCGTTGGTCCTACGAGAGAACCAACATGGCTAAATACATAGGTCCATGCTTGCTCCTTGTAACGACTGTGATATGCATGGTCATTGCCGTATCTTCGGCGCGAGATGTCCGAAGTATGACAGATTTAGAGATGGCCGGTACTCACCATCATGGCCATCATCATGAACACGGCGGAGGTCACGAACATCATTCGCATCATTTTGGAGAACATGGTGAAAAAGGTCACAAGGGCCATAAAGGTCATCATCATCACGAAAAGGGAGAACATGGTCACCATGGCAAAGAACATCATGAAGGTCACCATCACGAGCATGGCGGCCACAAGAAAGGTCATCACGATGAGCATGACGAGCACGGTAGTCATCACGAGCACGGACACGGACATAAAAAATCGAAATTTGGCCATGGAAAAGGCCATAAGAAGGGCGAGAAGACTCACGGTTATCACCATAAATCACACAAAGATGAATTCCACAAAGAACACAAATTCTACGATGATTTCCACAAAGGCGGTCACCATGAGAAACATGGCGATCATCACGAGCATCATCACGGAAAGGAAGGCCATCATAAGAAAGGTGGGCATCATCATTCCGGCCATCATGAGGATCATCATGGTAAAAAAGGTCACCATGATAAAGGGCATTACGATGAGGATCATCATGGTCATCATGGCAAACATGGTCACGAAGAACATCATCATCATCATGAGGATTACGGAAAGAAGAGCGAACATCATGGAGGCAAAAAGCATGGTTTTTCGAGCGGTCATCATGGTCATCATCATTAATCATGCAAAAGTTATTAATTTGATGAAATATAAACAGAATAAATTTTTATCGTTTGTTTCCTTCTTTGTTTTATTAATTATTTTTAAGATATCGAATAATTATAAATTTACTTCGTTATTGAAAAATTAAAATGTTTAGAACAATGCTTGAATGTATTATTTCCTTTAATAATTCCTATATACGCCCATAACATAAAATAGCTTTATGTAATATTTATATTGGCATAAAGACACACTTTAACTTCTTGTATTAAAACATAATATTATCGTTCTATTGTTATATATGTGTGATGAAAATATATGTCTTTTGCATAGAAATGTAATATATGTAAATCTTATTTTCCATTCAATTTGATAGTTTTATGTCAAAAATATTTACTACAATATTTATTACTACATATAATATACATATACATATTTATTATTAAAGCACATACATCATATAATATATATTTTTATTAATATTTTTAAATCCAAGAATTAAGTATTATTTAATATCCGTATTATTCAGAATTAACTAAACCAAATTTTAAAAAATTTTATCTTTGATAAAATACAAATAAGCATATTAATAGATAATATATTTCCTTTATCATATTAAAAAAAACTGTGTAAATTTGTATAATCTTTTTTAATATTTACGTATATTTTTACATGAAATTTAAATGTACAATGAATTAAGAATAACTTAAGGATGAGTATTTTAAAAATAAAAGTCTTAAAGATTTTTAAAAATGAGTCAATTTTAAATATTAAATTTTGACTATTAAAATGTAAAATATTTTCTCATCTTTGTTAAAACTTGAAACTTGTGAAATCATTTAAAAATTTATAGAAATATATAAAGTATACGCGATGTATAAAATTATACTGCTAACTAGGAAAAGGTTAATAATGTATGAATCTGTGTCAGATTATATAAATGAAAACTTGTATAGCTCTGTACTGTAATGAAAGTATTTATTTTAATAGATTTATATTTGATTTCAATTTATACAATAAAAAACAATATTGACACAATATAACTTTTTATTATATGTCAATTCAATCTATCAAAAATTGATAGAGAAAGTTCAATCAAAATATCGAGTAATTGGTTTATATAATTTTAAACAACTAGTAGATTATATAATAGAATCGATATGTATGTTATAAAAACGAATATATTTGAATAAATAACATTTACATTGTACAAGATTTGAAAAGTTTGTGCTTTTAATTTATTATAATAATTTATTATAGTTTTTAATGTAATGTAAAAACTTTCTTTATAAAGATCGATTATTAGTGCAGCATTTGACATTTTATTAATTATAATATATGTGTAATTTATTATCTCGGAAAGAAATGATATTTCCATATAATATTTATATAAATATAAATCAATAATTAGCCAATTTTTTTCAAATAAGATTTACTGCTTTTTTATAGTTTAAATGGACATACATATATTGAGAGTGATGCAATTTATCAACATACCTGAAATCATTGCTGTTAATAAAAATTCCTATATCCGATAGCCTATTTCTATTTATCAAATTCCAATATTAAGCAGCATTAAATTCGACGTTGGGTATAATGCATTCTCGAATAGTATATAAATATAAAGCATATTGTCGTGGTATCACGTACTTATCTTATATTTCGTACAATAAATATTTCCTAGGATACACTATGACTCATCTATTACGCTCATTATCTTGTAAATGTAAATCCGATTGCAATAATGATATATGCAAATATAAAAAAATAATGTACAATATTTTCGACTAAAATGTATCATTTATTAGTGCTTTCAATTGCTTTAAAACGACTTTGCGATTGCGACAGCTATTTACTGGCTTATATATACATATGTATACGTTTGATATATTATAAAAACGAAGACGAAACGGGAGCATAGGATCTACTATCGTATTCACTCCGCCGCGAATTTGATTAACGATCTGACGCTGTAGCGAATGAGCTCGTCATTTCCATGGCGTCCGTCCGAATTGAATTCCGGCATCCCGGACGCGGATTAACGGGCCTTTATGCACTTCTTTACTGCCACGTACGATGCAGCGGGTGTTCAGGGGTCGGTGCGAGGCTATTCTCCGCCGGAGATTGCATGCGCGCGCGGCAACGAACCTACTTGAAATGCTCCGCCATGTGACAATTCCGGCGGCCGACGAAAGGGTCCAGCCATTGTTTCGGCTCGTAATGCATGTGGGGGTAGTTTAATTAATGTAATTGAAGTAGCCATGGCGCGAAAAAAAAAAGGAGAAACACGAAACGCTCGTATAAGAAGTACGCACGACGGAGCGTTGTTCTGTGATTCTGCGTACTTTCATGGAAGCAGAATAATCGCCCTATTCGACCAAATTAATGAGAGGCTCAGGAACACGTGACATTTGCATTGCACTTCTGCGAGTCAGACTAGGAGGCGAAATAAAGGGATTTTTCACATTGTCTTTCGTATTTTTGTAAAACAAAATATTCTCGAGTCATTTGCATTTCTTTAAACTAATTATACATATTAGATATAACATAATAAAAATAAGGTATTTCTTACGAAAAAGTATATAAATAGGAACAAAAAATACACAAGAGTTATTTAATATATTGTTACTGAAAACTAGTTAAGCGAGCTGCGCCCTGAATTCGGAGTACCTTTAATAAAATTTTCACGAAGCCGAAGCAACCTCTCGAATAATAAATGACTTGCGAGCTACAGTCGTATAATGAAAACTGCATCATCCGACCGCGCAAGAAATCCTTTGACGACATAAGCTGCTAGATTAAATATTTGGATTAAGCTTATCTTGTTGGCGTATTCATTGTATCGCGCTAAAAACCAAGATATAATCAAGTTTGTTCATAATCAAAGCTTTACGCCATCAACAGCACGTATATAAATGAGAATTCTTAATCCGTTTATACGTGAAACATCGAGCAACACAGATGTAAGCAGATTGAAAAATTTTATTTACCTGTGTATCAATTTTTAATCATTTTATTTTACTTTTTTCAAAGAACACTTTTATTTAGTAAAGATACTTACTAATATGTATATTCTATATAAAAATTCAATATTTTTATTAATAAACTTAATTATTTAATTATATAATTATTTAATTAATAAATTTATAAATTATTTAAACTACGTAAATTAACAACAAAAAATTTTTCATGTAGTAATTTTTAATAAAATACCTTTATATATATGTATGTATATATATAATTAATTGTTTATAAATTATATGTACAAAGATATATTTGCACATTCTAAAATCTACATTGATTAATCGATAAATAATGAGCGCTAGTTATGTATGCACATTTGCAGGAGACAATTTACATTAAATAATATGTATGTTTTCGACGGCCTGCACCGGCTAGTTAAATTGTCATAATGCAGCAATATAATGGAAATAAGCATGAGAGATCGAGAGAGATTGAAAGAGAAATTAACCATTAAGATATCAAATTTTTATAAAATTATTTGTGTAAAACCATCAGTATTTATTTTTTATAAAAATTAAAATGGCATGTATTGATCTGAAAAAAGGTAACGATATGAAAAATGCGTAATATATGGAATACATTATTTTTAAATATCACTATAAGTTGCATACAGTGTAACTCATCTTTATTTTGTAAATAATCTTAATAATATTACAGAAATATTTACATTTCTATATAATCAATAATGTAATATTATATTGCATAGTATTGTATGAGATAACATTGCATTGTATATATACGGTATTTACCTAGAAATTTAACGGTGTCAACTTGCAACGCGCGTTCCTGCTGCACATTAATATCCGGTAATCAATTCAATCAGCTGGCCAATCGATTAACCTCAATTATTGGCGCATTAATGATCTGTACTATATGTGACATTAAAATTCATACTACGATGAAATTGCTAGTATATTACTCTTGCTCAACAATAGAGATACTATGTTGAAAATATTTTAATTGTACAGTAAACTAATTTATGCACGCTTCAAATGAAACTGATCAGTCATTGCTCGTTCACAAAAAAAAAATAATATTGACACGAAACATATGCCATTTACAAAATAAACCTTTTATTTAATCGATCTAATTTTTAATCAGATTGATGATAATTACATGTGACGTTAACGATGTGAGATTTTTTAGTTATTTTGAAAGTAATATCCTCAATTATATATACCATTACACATTTGTTCTCGCGCAATCATTATTTTTATCAATAAACGGAAGCACAAGACGCCAGGAAATGGCAAAATTACTTTAGTTGGGAAGTGGTAAAAGGCCGCTAAGAAAAACGATGGCAATAAATCGTGGGGAATCGATAAGGCGTAATATCACGCTGCCGTCTTGACTGTAATGTAGCTGCTGGGACAAATATGAGCTGGGGAGAAACTTATTTGCCACATTAAGACTGGAGAAAGAAAAACCAATGAGAGAGAAAGAGAGGAAGTCTCATACAACTAAACAATTTCTTTGCGCGTATAAGTATATTCGCGCATAATTATATTATATAAAGAACAATACAAAATATTTGAAAATATACATTCATACAATGCCGTTTCGTCGTTAATCTTGTCTGAAGTAAATATAATAACTGTAGAACAAGCGATATATATGTATATATTTCAAGCGATTTTTTATCTATAATACTTGAGTCTACAATTCTAATGTCCTTTCTTATAACCGTATTTTTTTCCGGAATGATGATCGCCTTTCTTGCCATATCCATCATGATGAGAATGGTGCTCCTCGTGACCGTGTTTGCCATGGTGACCCTTGTGCTCCTCATCGTGATGACCTTTGTCATGATGGCCCTTTTTGCCATGATGATCCTCGTGATAACCGGAATGATGATGACCACCCTTTTTATGATTACCTTCCTTCTTCTCGTGATGACCATGAAAGTCACCGTGCTTCTCATGATGTCCGCCCTTATGATAATCATCGTAAAACTTATGCTCTTTATGATATTCGTCTTTGTGGAACTTATTGTGGTAACCCTTCGTCTTATGACCCTTCTTATGGCCCTTTTTCTCGCCGAACTTGCCGCCCTTATGACCTTTTTCGCCTTCGTGATGTTCGCCATACTTTTCGTGCTCGTCGTGATGACCTTTCTTTTTGCCACCATGTTCCTCATGATGACCAGAATGATGCTCCTTATCGTGCTTACCGCTATCGCTTTCATCGTGATGATGATGACTCTTGTATCCCTTCTCACCTTTTCCACCATGATCCTCGTGATGATGAGATTCATGTTTATGACCACCACCGGATTCATGATGATGCCCTTTTTTATGTTCAGTCGCTGCCGTTTCGAGATCACCTACCTCTGCGACTGGCGATGACACTACGATTGGCTCTAAATGACTTACATGACCGTCATCGTTTTTTTCTCGCACATCACGCCGACTGATACGCGATTCCGCACTGACCAGTTCTCGGGCGTGACACGTTGGATGTAACGCGAACAAACATATTGCTATGAATGGCAAAAATAGCATCGTACCTCGCACCATCTCGATCGCACCCGGTTTCGATCGGACTGATGCTCGACGTTACAACGGTTGACACTTAAATATCGATGGTCCATCTACTTCCGCCATGACACGGCCGGCTGTTTCCGCCAAGTCCACTTTCATCCGCACGACCGCAAGTGTTCCTAAATTTCGTTCCAATCTCCATTGACACTGGTGCGGTGAGCAGGCACACGGTTTCACACTTTTTCGCATCGCTGCACATTGCATTTATTTTACTACAATATTTCGTCGCGCCGTCTATCTCGTAATATCCATACAATCGGGTGTTAAAATATTATTTGTCGAGTCAGCTTATTGCAATTTCTTGTTCTTTCTGTGAAATCACATAACAAATTAATTCGTTTATATTCTTCCAATGATATTTATATTTAAAATTAACAGCTTTTAATACACGAATATTTTAGATAATTTTTTATTGTACTAATCGTTCTTTCGATACACCGCGTAAACGCAATATCTGCGCATAAAGTTGTATTCAACATCAGGAAGAACTTTCCATTATCACTTTTTCCATGATCGGTCTGCCGCAGGAACAATATTACGGAAATTTCTAGACCGCAACAGATCACATTATTCTCTTTATTTCGAATTATTCCTTCTCTCATTTGTAATCAATATTTACGTTTTAGATATATTTCAATTAAAATTAAAAGGAAAATATGATTATTTTTAAAATTTATTTTCTCTTCTTTTTCATGCAGAGGGATCTCTTGTTTTGTAATATAAATATAAAACAAAAAGGCTCTGATATATAAATACAAATTCACATAGGTAGCGGATTAATAAGAGCGAGATGCAGAAATTCAGCGCGCTCTAATTTGTTTCATTCTTGTACGTATAATTTCTTCGAGAATTTGTTAATTAATTGAATCGCACGGATATCGAATTTGACAAAGTGTCTCTCACTTTTTTCAGATAATAGCTATTAATTTATAAAATGTTAAATTTCGGTCAGCTTCAAGCTGACATGAATGGCCCAAATATCTATTTTGAATCAAAGTGGCATTCGGTTGTCCAACACATGCGCGCGTTCGATCAACACCTCGCGTAACGGCATATGACCTCAATCGATATTTGAAGTTAAGTACCCTAGCAGATGCTCGCGCAATCATTTTAATTAACGTTATGACGTACAAATACAGATATGCATATGTCACTCTGTGTATACCGTAGATGCGTTTTGTTGTCACAACGCGCGTGTCGTTGCGCTCCCCGGCTCATCGATAAGCTGTCTAATTTCACCATTAATCCTATTACCTGCGACATAAATTCGCTTCTCGTAAACACAGCGCCATTTATAACGTCATAAGCCAAAAACAATTTATTGAGTTTTACAGACGTCGGCGACGCGTATATCACCGCTCGGCGTTCGTTGCGCGGGTCGTTTCGCTAACTGTTGACCCATTTGTTCCAACATTCCTGACGGTTTTATTAGATGATCTCGAAAAAACCATCGAAAAACGTAGAAATAACGACCTCCCTAGTCTTAATCTTCCACCCATTTTATTCCAACACTGTATACGATATTCGATAAAATTAGAATTTCGAACGAAAGGTTGCAAATAGTATTCTGCGCTGACGAAATAGTTTCTCTAACACGTAGTAGAGCTTTCTGACAAGACAGAATAAGCAAACGACGTCGTATGTAAAATAACGAGTTTTTAAACTAGAAAACCGCGACATACCATGATCGTCGATGCTGATCTCCCTTGCAAATTCAAAGTGTCGGCCACAAATTCGCACTCTGAAATACTGATCGATAGATTCTGACCCTTTACAATCTTACTTGGCAACCGTCCTAGATTGAAGATTGGCTCTTACCGGTGTTGGGAGGCGCGCTGCATAATCAAGATAAAGATTGGTTACTGCCCAGTTTCGGCGAGGATCCCCTTTTAGACAGAGGGAAAACCAAGGGTTCTGCCAAGTTCGATTTCGACTCGGTATCGTCGTAACGGAGATTAGATTAGGTGGCATCGCCGTAGACCTCAGTTCAGATGGAAAGATTGCTTTGTAAGCAGATCCGGAGTCAACGTCGGACCATCCATATCGTCCGCCTCTTCGTTTAGTCAATAAGCGGGGAGGCGCGGCTTCAATTAGAGTCTAAAATATACCATTGAAATCTTTATGTACGGGCAAAGCACGGTAGAGTGTTGTAAATCGGAGCATGGTTCGTTGACTTCCCAAGCATTTCAACGTCGCTCTCGTTTTTCTGCCCCGGAATAGTAATGTAATGATCAAAATCTGAAAAGTTCTCAGAAATAACTTTTATAATTAGAAATTCAAACATCTCATTACATTTGTCGTTCTTATTAAAATATTAATATAGATGTCTCTCATAACTGATCTAAGAGTCTTGACGTGTTGTCAAACCGACACTATGTTTGTTCTTCACATCTTAAAATTATAATTTTATTTTTATTTTCACAAATCACTTGATAAGGACTCAAAAAAGGGTCGAAACGTTGTGATTTAATAAATAATATTTGCCAGTACGGTCGAGAGAATAGTCTTACTTTTTTTTTTAATTCTGTCTGGCGATTCTCAAATATCTATACGTTTTTATTAATATAGATATTAATCGTAATATTATCAATATTACAAAGATATAATACTTGTATTATAATGTAATAATAGTGATACTACAAAATAAAAGTATTCTATTGCTTATAGTAATTTTTCAATCTTATAAGCTAAATATCAAGAGCTAAGATTCAGAGAAAAAATTAAAAATATTTAAGACATTATTATGCCACAAAAACTGGAACTTTAAATTTTTTATTAATTTTATTAAAATAATCAATAAGAAGAAAAAATAAGCATTACAAATATTGTCAATTCTACGTCGTTAACTTATGACTTATAAGGTGTGCAATCAGTTGATGGAATCGTTTGGTCCGACTCACTTAATCCAACGTCCAAACTATCTCACATTGAAGTCTTACCCTCACACACCATCTTTCCTTCTTCTTTTCTTCCTTTTCGTTCCTTTCATGCCGTTCTCCGCGCGTAGAGTATTCTTTCTCTCCCATAGAGTATTCTTGCATGTTGAATAAAACCGTCAGGCTATACGCCGACGAACAAAAAGACCTCGCGCTGGTTTCTGGGTTGCTAATGAAATTGTTTTCTAATTTAAACCCGGAGAGGCCATTCGATGTAGCTACCATTCTATGGTCAAGAGACCCCAAAAGCTGCGAGCTTTTCGGACGATAGCCGTGAGAGAACTGACAGTAATAGTCTGTAATTCGAGCTCCACCTTTGCTTTGTTTGCCTCTTAAATTCGTTTATACAGGCAAATAGTTGGTATTTTCAACTGATCCGTTATCGCGATATTCGCTAATTGCATGTGAAAATGTGTGGGAGTGACGAAATAAGAACATATCGCAGCAAAATTTTTTAATGGAACAAGCTAATAGAGAAGAGAGAGATTTTATTAATAATATCTCTACATGTATTACTTAAATGTAGATCCAATAATAAAAAATATAGCCGATTAAATTTGGATTTGATAATGGCTTTTTATTAAGGTAAAAAACCATTATCAAATATGAAACTATAATATAATCCAATGTAAAGCAAAATTTTATACATATATATATATATATATATATATATATATATATATATATATATATATACATACACATATTTCTACATATTTTTCTAAATTCTTTTTTATTAAATGCAGCAGAAGAACAGAAATGTAAAAATTATGTAATAAAATATTAGCAAATTTTAACACTAAAACTAGATTGCACAAATTCTTGAAATTGATGGAATATGTAAATTGATGGCAACACAATAATTCTTTGTCACGCATAGCGTTAAAATGATAATTATCTCAAACAATTAACAGATCGATTTTCCACTATGAGGATGGGTAACCACCTGGAAAAGTTCGTCATAAATAATTACAAAATGCAGGTTCATAAATGTTACACACACTTTGTATTAGAGCTAACTATTAGAGCTAAAATATATACACAACGAGACACGATTCTTGCGTGACGAAAAGCACTTTTTAACATACACTCGCGTTTTTATCGTCTTCTGTCAGTTGGAACCATACTGTGTCGGCGATTAGTCGTATCTATCGTATGCCAACCGAGTGGCAGTATCTGCAATCTAGCACGGTTCCAAACCATTGCCATTAAGCGCACAATTAAACCTGGATATCTATAATTGTAGCGGAACTTTGAAAACTTATTTGCTTTTCGAACAAATCGCAAAACTGACATAAACAAGTTGCAAACTCATACAAAATACAAAGCATATAGCTGAGATTTAAAGATATACAGATAGTAAATTCTTGACTCCCTCAAATAATATTAAATCTGAAATTAGATTTATAAGCTTTGCGACAAACGTACCAAATTATACTCGCACATTCTCACGCGAATGAGTTAAATGGCAATTTAATTAATTAGGATATAGTTAGTATAATAAATATCACGTTGCGGTGATCCGATGTAATTTATTTAAAAATTGAACACTATATATAGCTTCGCTAATAACCACCTAAAAATCACATTATTAAGAATTAAGTGGCGTGTCTAGACTATTGTTGATATCAAATCTATTTCTTCTCCACGAAAGAAAGAAAACTTTCGCTTCTCTCTCTCTCTCTCTCTCTCTCGTTATATTTTCCTCCCCCATTAAAGAAATTACATTTCTTTAGAATCTAATTGAATCAGCGACTCTGCGCAAAATGTGAACGTATTGGTTTTTACACATTTTTAAGTAATTGGCAAGATTAAACGAGATGCGCTTTCGATGAAAAAATGAAGCATTTAACGAGTTAACGTTTCGACGGACGAACGGATATGCATCCATCCATGCTGTGAGAACGAACTATTTGCATACAACGCGAAACATACCCCAGAATGGATTAGCTGTTGATAATCGATCATGCACGGGCATTGCTAATGTAACGAGTTTCACCAGGCGGTAATTTTGAACGTACGCTCGTACTTTCGCGATCGATTCCAAACGCGAAAGCGTAACGGCAAATTTCATAATGGAAACACTGTTATAATATTAATCTAGCGTTCAATATATTTGCCTGGCAGCAGTACTCTACCTTATTTACGTTATTTTGATACGATGTTTTGCAAAATAATCGTTGCTATTGCTTCTTTTAATTAAAGATTGTTTTATAATTACAATTGTAAGTTAAAAATCAATTGTGTAGAAATAATCGCATCAAATAAATACCGCTTGAAACTTGATAATCGTGATGTGCGTTTTGAGCATTCACAATCAAATAAAGTTAACATACATGTAGGTATAATGTACGATAAATTTATTAGTCAAACATTAACTTTTATTATTGTAAACTACCGTATATATCATTAACATTATTATTACTATATCTCTATATTACTATCTACAATGCATTTGCAAATGCAATAATTGTTTGTAATATAAAAGAAAATATATGTCCACATATTATATTGTTTTCATTTTCGAAAATGAATGATTTGTGCATATACATACACACGTAATTTTAAATAGATATTATATAGGGCAGGATTAAGAATCGCCAAACAAAACTCTAGAATTTGGGTAAAATATTAAAATAAATTTTTTTAAATAAAATTAGTATAGGTACATATCTCTCATCATAATTAGTAATGATTAATGATCTTCTTCGTCATCGCTATTGGAGTTATAAGAGCTATGTGTTTCGTAAGATCCCTCATCGCCATCTCCAGAGGAATAATTTTCGCTATGACTATAAGATTCCGGCTCTTTATCCGTGTAGTGGCCACTATAGTGATCTCCATCGTCGCTTTCAGAATAATGCGAATATTCGCCTCCTTCACTGTGATCTCCCTCGCCACCCATATAGTCTGTATCGACCATAGTACCTATAAAAGTTTTCATATCGCATTAAACACAATTTATGAAGAACAGTTTCGCGTTATCCGCAGCAGCCACTTCAAATTCGAATTCAAACAAGTGTTAGGTTTCCATGCTTATGGACAGTCGGGTTTCTACGACTCTACATGTCAGTTTTATTAGATATATTGCAACTTTTAGAAATTATTTTTTCGTATATATTAACAAAAATAATAATTTATCTATATACATACTATAATATTGTTTCTAAAATAAATAACATAAATTGTATAACGTCAAAACTTTCCATCTTTTTTTATTCTGTGTCTTGTTACGTTAATATATGTTGATAATTATATAATTATACAATATACTAATTAAATGCTCTTTAATTCAAATAAAATATTACACATATAAAAGGCTAATAAGAGCAGAAGTAATATTACGGTTATAAAAACTAATTTATTACATTTAATCAATATATACTGATCGAAACAATAAAGTTTAAATTAATATAAAATTATAAAAATAATCTCGAAAGTTAAAACAAATGAAAAAGCGAACGTTTCGATCCAATTTTTCGGATCTTCTTCAGCGCAGTACACAAAGCAAATTAAAATCACAAAAGTCTAAATATTTAACGTATAAAAGTCTAATAAACATATTTAAACGCGGTTACATCAATAAACAAAATAAAACGTCGTAAGATTAACATTAAGATGATTCTCACTAATCCATCACATTTACGCAACTGTGGGAAGCGCTCCTCTTTAGTTTTCTGACTACGAGGTTGGCAGGTGTTAAAATATAAAACATTAATCGCATCATATATTTATGATGTGACAGTATTTTAATTGTAACAGTAACAAAAGTGACGCCAGTGTAACCCTTATGTCAGTAGAACGGCTCAGAGGAAACTAAATAATTATAATTTAACAATTTTTTTACCTGCGCCCTCGTGATCGTGATTCTTCTTCTGTTTTTGACGTTTCTCACTGTTATTGTCAGCGAAATCTTTGCCCCAGCTGGTTTGCGTCTCGAATTCGTATTTGTCGCCGTCTTGTTTGTGGAAGGTGTCGAGAGCCTTGTAGCCTTGATCACCTTTACCGTAGGTTTCCTTCAAGTAACCCTTCTCACCCTCCGCATCACTTCCGTAGGTTCTGTAGTAACCACCCTCGTCTGATTTGCCTAAAACCGCATTGTTGCCCGTCCTTGTTATGCTTAACAAGACATCTAACGTGTTCATGAAATTCAACATTCGACAATAAACGTTAATCCGTTTATTTCAAGAAAAGAGAAGGATATACACTAAATAGAAGAGAATAATACAATGCACATACCATAAGAAAATAATACGATATATTTCTCTTAGATGGAATATTTTTGTTCTCATCGATTTTCCTATAATAGTTGCACATACACCAGTATCCGATAATTTATTTATTTATTTATTTATTTAATATTCTCTAACTTTCATTAGAAGTATAGCATTATTTTAAGTATAACATTATCGTATATTTTTTTAGTAAAAAATAACTCACTAAGAACATACCAGATGCATTTTTCATGTGTTTTTTAGTGTCTCGTGATTTCGGTGCGTTACCGACGCTCATTAAATCCTCTACTTCCGTAGCGACTTTTAATGGCGCCGGTTGACGTATCTCGCGGATAAATGAGCCAACGGCAGCGACATCGTCTTCGACAGCCTCGTAAATGATAGGTCTGGCCAAGGTGTTGCAAACAAGCAGGTGCGGAAGCAATGACACAAACAGTTTCCAATACATCTTGCAGAATTACTTTAATCTCGTCGGTCTCGACGATTCCTTGTCTGTTCAATCTATCTCGCCGAATCTTTTATATCGCTCCCACTTTCTCAATCTAGATAAAATTCTTCAGACGGATACAATAGACTTACTATAGAATTGCGTATATATTTGTATCGATCTCGCAAGTTGTTATTGTGGCTGATCGTTTAAAGTGGCAATTTGATTTGCACCTCGCGCCTAAGTTTCATAACATCTTCCGCAGTGAACGTCACCGAAAAAAGAGAATTTTTTAAGATTTTAAGATCGATTGTCCGCACCACGATCGTTGTTTCACCGTTTAAGAAATTGGAAAGAATCGATCACGATTGTGTCATTCAATCATCTTATGTAAAGGCATCTTTTCGTCATCAAGAAAGTCACGCCTGTAAATGATGGTAACAGATCGATTGCGCTTCGATTATCGCGTTAATACCGAACTATCGATCGGACAGAAAGATATTATCTGTGTCGTGTCGCACGAGTGATCTCGCGCTTTCAACGATCGCGAATGCACCATGGTACTTATCAATTTACTGACGACAGCTGATAGAATTGTTTGACATAATGGGGCTTTGCTACATTGTTCTCTCTAAACATTATAAGTGTATTTATGCTACTCTGCAAAAATTTATCCAGAGGTATATTTAAACTTTTAGAATATATTAGACTCGTAAAGAGAGAGAGAGAGAGAGAGAGAGAGAGAGATAGTGAGAAATATTCTTTTTGTTCGATATATATGTAAATATAAAAATTAAATTAAATTCTAAATTTTATGTAAAAAAATAAATATAAAATATAAAAATGGAATTCAAACTCTAGGTTCCAAATTTATTTCATCGAATGGAATATTCTTGGAAAAAGGCGAGCTAAGCTAAACCATGATGTTCAATTCACTTTGATGTAGAATGTGTAAAGGATTAAATTTAACTATATGTAATGTCGAGAATATGATGGGAAAACGCATTTGCGTTTCATTGGTTTTAACTTTGTGCATGCGTTTCTGTGTTTTGATCCGTACTAATATTTAACATAACGACATGAAATGTAATGTGGGAGATGCAATTAGTTCAGGATCGTTATCACCAGGCGATATTATATATTAATGACTTGGTACAAGTGAGATCTCCAGTAATAATTATTACTCGATCGTGTTGGACAGTTTCGTATCGAACATAATAAAAGCGATGCATCTGTCGTTGCCACGATCAAGTATTCATAATATTGTGAGATAAATGCTTTTAAAATTATAATAACACGAGAAAATTGTTTTAACTGTATTTTCTTTTTATGTTTTGTTATGAAAAAACACGCATTGTACACGCACGAATGCGTATACTGCACTGTAAAACAGTTTCGAAATACGTAAAAGATAACTTTTTTGTGATATTTTAACATTTTGCGATTGTTGCACAAACGTTCCACTTTAATGACTATTATGCAGAAGTTACAAGTGGCAAGAAACATTAAGTTTTTACTAGAATTTATATATAAGTATAAATAAGAAGTCAACACATATAGAGCAGAAAACTATCACAATTACAATATCCTTTTAGATTAATTATATCTATCCTGATATATTAGTTGAATCATGGATTAAATTATCTTACAGTAAAAAATGTTTCTATTGTTAGATTCACAAACGTACTGTTTTGTTTAAAATAATTTCGTCTATAAATAGCTGAAATATTCCATCTTACTATAACTAGAGAAAAAATTATTATTTAAAAGTTTACTACTATTAAAATTTTGAATAATTTCTACATTATTATGTGCAAAAAATAGTACAGTGCGCTTTTAAAAAAAAGAATAAAGTATATTTTGTAAATATGCATATTTAAAAAAAATAAACTAATATTAAAACAAAAAATATTCTAAAATATTAATGCAAATATATGGCATATATGCTATAGTCAAATTTACCTAATCAATATGTTAACAAAAACGAATATGCAACGAGCTAACTGATCATTAACGTCGTAGCATCATTCGTCAGGCGCTGTCGGCGCAAGAAGCCAGTAAATCTCGAACTTCATTTCCGTCGTCCACTTGACGCGACACGAGGAGCGTTAGGATAATCGTCACTTAAAACCATGGTGCCGACGACGTTAAGCGTCTTAGATAGTTGCTGCGCCCGCAATTTTCTCAGCATAATCCGGTAATTTGAAAATCTCGGATGGAATGTAACACCTCGTATCAGCCACCGTCTTAGATGTACTAAGATCCTCGTTTCGCCAACCCCTGTTGCATCACCACCTCCATTCTGGTCGGTCAATGTGCACCTTTAGCCACAACCTTGGTAGCGAAGTAAAGCCGATAGTTCCAGGAATATCCGAGACCGAGGGGTTGCATCGCGTCAAGGACTGCATCCTGATTAGGATAAAAGGAGAAGTTTGAATAATCTCATTGGTATGCGAACTTCACTAACCTTCCCTCCTCAATCTCTACTCAGTACGCTTTTTATATAAAAATATGTCGCATTATGCATATATGAGTATATGTCTGTACTGAACAAGTTTAACCGCATTTATAAATGTTTGATTACGATTAAATATTTTATAATTTTATATTTAGTTTATATTTAGTTTCGATTATTATTTCATTGCATGAATTTTATATGTGCATATTTCTTTATAGAAAAACTATATATGGGAAATATTTATAAATAATAAAATTAATACACAGTGAAAAAGTTATATATCTCTTATTGAAAAATAATTAAAATTTTATATGTAAAATATTAAATGCAGACATTTTGTTATGTTCACTATGGCTGGAAAAAAACTTTAATACAACTCGCAATATAGATTTTTAGTGTCGGAGTATGAAACAGAACATTTTCAACTAACAGTTAAATGTTTTTTAATAATGAATCAATATTTTATGTGAGCGATGTGAGAGAGATTAATCGTCTCGAACGCTGGTACAAATATTCTATGTACCCATAGAGTTATAACATTTTGGTTTAAAGTTACCATACAATGTTATAATCACAATCCAGATATGGCTGAGCTAGGAAAGAATTGCTGTAAACACATCTTGATATTTTACCAATAGATTCTTTTTATTAACAAATAATAAAATAAAAAACAACATTTTAATGTAAATTTTTCGACTGTTGAATATCTAATATGATATAAATCAATGATATAAATAATATATGTTTAATACAAAAGAAACTTTTATGAAGTGTATGCGAATATTGTTTGTAGGTAATTGACTTACTGTTAGTAAATTGAAATTGTCAACTGCTAATAAGTAAGGAAAATTAATAATTTTTAATAAGATAATATATTGCAAGACATATAAAATGTATATGCACTTATTAATATATACATAAATATAATCAATAATATATAAATGAGTAGAAAAGTAGAAATAAATCAATATGTACAAAGAAAAATATTATTAATGTATTGTATATTTAAATTACTTATTAGTGTTAAACTAAATAAAAGAGGACTATTTACTTGAAATTTGAAAACAATTAGAAAAAATATTTTTTACATATAAATCAATAAAATAATATACTTCGTGATGAGTCCAAGAGATGTCGATACTGTATCTATTCGTTATCTATTTGAGAAAAAGAGAGAAAGAAAGACAAATTTGTATATATTTTAAACATAACTTAGTAGAATAATGCAAAAAATATCATTATTATATTAATTATTACTATTGTTTATTGTTTATTATAATATAACACATAAAGACTCATACAAATATGATTAATATACATTTTTTAATAAGACAACATGTAAAAATTTGTTTATATTTTTATGTACACAAGTTTCAATTAAAGATTTTGTATTGCAAAGATATTATATTATATTTTTATTCGACATAATTTTTCAAAGACGCACATATTTCTATTATTAAACGTACTTTAATTACTTTAATTAAACATTTTTACTAAATATATAATCTTGGCGAGATATATTCTACAACGCAGCATAAAAACAAGTTCTACATAAATGTCAAATTAATTTAGTAAGAATGTTAACTCGATGTGGAGGCGGATGGCGGAGCCAGTAGTACAAACGAGATATAGCCAGACGAGAGAGGGAAGAGCGACGCAATTAGGAGAGAACATAAATCCCACAATTTAGCACACTTCCACGCGATGCCAGCAGTTCGCAGAATACAAATCAATCAGCATAACGGTCGACTGCGCATTTAATTTCCATTCGGCTTCTGATCGAGTGAGATTCGCCGATTCCGCTACGCTGCGTGTCGGCGCTTTGTCCTGGAGCCGCTTGTATGGCGGCAGGTACCACCGTAGACACACACGATATCTCGATCCCGCATACCGTGCTCGCCACTCATCCTATTGTGGAATCTCTCGAAACGGGTCAAACGCAACGGGACAACGGGGCACAAAAAGGATTTTGCGCGTCCCGTAACGAACTCGACGATGGCGTGATTCTGATACGCACACGATGCGGAGTAATTCGAGTTTACATAAAAGCAATCGCTTTTTATATGATTTCTCTTTAATGTGATATTTAGAACAATAAAATATACATATATTTGCATTTATAATTTTCGAAAAATGCATACACGCAATATTACGTATGTTAAATATCCTTCTAATTAAATGCTATATTTTATACTCTTTAAATTTAGATACATTATGTAACGCTAAGTAAATTCTTCGCATTAATAGTAATATAACAATAATATTAATAGTAATGTGTTAATAAAATATATTGTTGATAAATATTACATTGCTTTCTAAATTACTACCCCCTCGTACAAGGCCAAGTATAAGCTATTATTGATAGTCTCTGGACAAATCCGATCAATATGTCGACGGCACTTTCGCTTCCACCAAGCGCGAATACAAATATCGCATCCGCAGAATTGCCCTCCCGCACTATTTCCCTGAGATTTTGCCCCTCGAACTACCACCGTCACGAGCCGCCGTCCAGGCTTACCTAACTTAGTCGGCGGCGGTAGCGCGGGTCGCCGTCATTGCCAACCAAGTTTATGGCCCAGACCGACGCCCATAAACTGTACAAATGGTAAATCTACCGTAAGATCATCCCAGCCGAAAATGATGTATCGTAGGTTCCGCGGGACGTACACCCGAGACCTCGG